CGCCCGAAGATGATTCTTACATATCTAAAAATCACTAAAATCAAAGCAATTAGACCAATTTCAGTAATTTCAGAAAGTCTGCTAGCCTCGAAGATGCGCAACGATGAAACAGGCGGCAATGAATCGATGAAACAAAGATAAAAAATATCCGTTTTTCAACTTTTCTAGCTTTGATAATAGAGGAAACGGATTAACCTGAGCAGGAAAAGTGCCGGCACCTTTGATCGCGATCAGCCAATGTATTCGAGCCGACAGCTGATGGGGCAGCGAGGGCGAAAGTGACGAGTAGCAAACAAACATGGCACTCTCGGATCCCAGTTCAGCAACCATCGCATGGATCGGGATGAATTGGTCGCCACGAATCATTGCACAACTTCCAAAACTAGTTGTCCATCGGCTGTAGCAAGCAATGATTGCCTAAATTCGGCTCAATGCTTTTTTCAAATAGACTAACCGAAATGGAACAACCGTGAAGTTTCATATTTCTTGTAAGTATTGCGATATTTTTGAGTAAAGTAATTCCAGTAAAACAAAATAAATTTTCTTAAAAACAAATTTAGTAAGTAATTTTAGTAATAAATAGTGGAGTATGAAGATTGGAATTAGACGTCATGTATAAGAAGACATTTCATGGTGCAGTCTATGTTCCATCCCTTAGCTGTATACACAGACCGAACAATGCATGTGTGGGAATCGTCAGTACAGCCTCCTACCCGCCATGTATTGAAAGGACATGTAACTAATTTGCAAGAAGGATAAGTGAAAGAGAAAGAGAAGGAGAGAAAAAAAGTGTAATAGCATGAAAGTAATAAAAGTGATGGAGCAGTTGGAAGAGGAAGAGACTAACATATAAGAGGGGTAGTAATTAAAAAAGTAGAACAGAAGGACTGGACTTAAGCGTCATGTGTAAAAAGACATTTACAATGCAGCCTATATTTCATCCCTAAGCTGTAAACACAGACCGAACTATGCGTACCAGTAGGAGCGGGAATTTCCAGTAAAACTTTCAGCAGAATAATTCTATTTCAGCTATTGTCTTTATAAAGTTCCAAACGAAACTATGAAAAGTTCATTGTTTTTCTGAGTCGGTCTTTTACCATGAGCTGAACACCATTAATATTAAGAAAATTAAAACTGCACAAATAATTAGCGAGGAAATCCTATGCTGTGTGATGTTGCTAAGATGCTAACAGCAGTAGGTTTTCTCTTCAGCCATAAGCGTATCCAGGGTGGACCCCTGAGAAGAGGCGGGGGGAAGCGACGGGGAGTGGGGAACAGAGTTCCCTCCTCCCTGGGACTATGCAAAAACTAGAAATAAAATTATAAAACTGATAATTAGAGCTACTTTAGGCTTTAGTTTACTGCAGATTTAGCTTTAGACCAGGACTTTTGCAACACTGGTGCCTGTGTCACTGGGCGGAGGAGAGGGGAGGATCCCCCCCCCCCTTCTTGGCTTCGTCTATGCCTCCAGTTAGTATCCATTGTCTATCCAATGCATGCGCGCTATTTTAAGCTATCATTAATATGTGCATATTCCGAAATCACTGTTATAAATCCCTCCGTGTACCGGACATGTTCCCATCGTCAAAAAGAAGCAAATTCAATTTTTGCTCCCACAAAAAAAAATATTTGAAAACTCTTGAAATCAACACAGCAAGCGCCTAAACCGACAATAAACTGGTATTTTACTTTGCAAAAGACCAAAAATTTCTGCATTTGATGGAAATTTTGTTCTTTTTCTTCAATATATTATAATAAAATCACGTTCAGCTGCAAAATTACCGTCAAAAATTGTAGAATTTTGCTGATTTTCTTCGCTGCTTTATATTAAAATCACGCTCAACTGGAATTTTACAGCAAAAAATCGTAATTTTAACTGATAACTCGAAATTTTGCCTTATAAATGCAATATCCCGGAAATGCGGTAAAATGGCGTACCTCATGCAGCTGGTCCGAAATCGTAAAGAAGAAGCAGTTTGAAGCGAACCAGAACAATAAATGCTCTAAAATATCGAAAATACGGCTATCTTTACCACCGAATCGTGAAGCAAGTGACATGACACAGTTCCGCAAAACACTTTTACTGTCCATGAATGCATGATGCAAGGTTCTTTTCGTGGGCAATACGCTGAGCAGAGAGCCCGGTTTCACGGAGAGCAATGGGATAATTGTCGAATCCTGGGCACAGGCATCATTCAGTAACTGAAATTAATTCACAGCTGCGAAATCGTATTTAAATTGAGTTTCGATTTGCGCTTGCGCCATGTCTTAGACCAAATTCAAATATATTTATAGAGAAATGGCGAGTCCGCCTATAAGGACAAGCTGTGAAGCTGAAACTTTGCAAGGATGTTCTATATCCAGGAAAGCATAAAAGTTAGCAAGAAACGAATTATATCGCAGACCTAATACAAACTGTTTTAATTACATCTAAAAATACACTCAAATTTTTTGGTTTAAACGATTTATCGTTTGTTTTTAAAGGACTCTTCCCCTTCATTTGCTTGGTCTGGTCCTTATTCAGGGCCAGCAGCTGTATGCCCATCTTCTTTCTTCTTTTTCGATGAACAGCTGATTCTTCACCCTTTTTTCAAGAGCATCCTAATTTCACTTCGGAACTTTTACCTCTTTTTTGCTTCTTACGACTAAAATTCATAGCAATAAAGCGAGGATGATACCACCCCCTCCGTTACTGTGTTATCACTAACATATATATATATATATAT